TCGGTGGCGACTCCACAAAACCCTTTCAAAACTAGCTTTTGGATTAGCCCGGTTATCGGACAATCCAAGAGCGCCTTTTCGAAAACCTCGCCCCTAGGTTCAGTCCGGTTATCGGACAACCTAAAGGCGTTGTAACCACCAACAAAAAACGCGAAAATTGAAAAGTCGGAACCATCGCGTCGCTCCGACCGCCTCTCTTTTTGACGGCGGCGACACCTATTATGCACAATCGAATAGGAAAATGGGTTTTAGCCTTGACAGAGTTTTCATTATCATTCGATCCTTTGAAATCGGTAAAAGGCCAAGTTATCACTGATTTTATGGTAGATCATACAGTTGACTCGATTGATAATTTCTTTGTTGAAACAAGTAAGTGGATAATGTATTTCGATGGATCGAGTACATTGGATAAGTCGGGGATGGGAATTCTTATTATTTCACCAAACAATACCCCGACTAAGTTATTATTTGAAATCAAACCCAACTGCTCGAATAATGAAGTTGAATATGAAGCTTTGGTTTTGGGTCTCGAGACTTTGATTAAATTAAAAGCTCGACATGTGTAATTGTAAGAGGGGATTCACAATTAGTGATCAAACAGGTTCGAAAAGAATACAAATGTATCAATACCAATTTGTTCAGATACTTGGAAAAAGTAATCACTTAGAGTAAAATGTTTGATGATATAACATTTGAATATGTTCCTCGAGAATTTAATCGAGAAGCTAATGACTTAGCGCAAATGGCATCTAGGTATAAAATTTCTCTGGAAAATTTACAAAAGATGATTCAAATCAAAGAGAAATTACCCCAAGAGAGGGAAGTTTTACAAATTAACAACTTGGATGATCAGGATTGGAGAAAATCAATTATGGACTATTTGCAAAATCCAAACGGGAGAATCGATAAGAAAATAAAGTATCGAGCAATAAAATATGTGTTGCTTAATGATGAATTGTACAAAAAAGGTATCGATGGAGTTTTGCTCAGATGTTTAAGGGATGACGATGCTTATTTGGCAATGGCGGAGGTACATAATGGAATATGTGGTGCACATATGGTAGGTCAAAAAATGAGATGGACGTTAACTCGACAAGGATATTACTGGCCTTCGATTTTAAAATATTGTATCGAATATGCTAAGTCATGTGAGGAATGTCAGAAATTTAGTCCCGTACAACAAGTCTCTGCTAGCGAATTGCATTCGATTATCAAATCATGGCCTTTCAGAGGTTGGGCAATCGATTTAATTGGACAAATTTTTCCACAGTCATCGAAAGGACATAGATACATAATTGTAGCCGTTGATTACTTCTCGAAATGGGTAGAAGCAGTCCCGTTAAAAGATGTTGATCAACAAGATGTGATCGATTTCATTGAGGAATATATCGTTTATCGATTTGGGATACCACAGTCTATTACTACTGATAGAGGGAAAATTTTTACTGGCAAGAAAATGGTTAGATATGCTGAATCGAGAAATATTCAGTTATTAGCATCAACTTCATATTATGCTCAGGCTAATGGACAGGTTAAGGCCATTAATAAAGTAATTATTGGTTTAATCAAGAAACATATCGGTAACAAACCAAAGACTTGGCATGAAACGTTATTGCATATTTTGTGGGCTTATCGAAATTCACCGAAAGATTCCATACAGAATACCCCATATAAGTTAGTCTATGGGCATGATGCGGTTTTACCCATCGAAATAAATATTGAGTCAACTCGAATACAAAAACAAAATGAATTACCCAGCTGTGATTACTGGAACTTGATGTATGATGAGTTAAATGAACTCGATGAAATAAGATTGCAAGCGTTGAATAATATTATTTTACAGAAAAGTCAGATTGCTCGAGGTTATAACAAGAGAGTTCGACAAAAAATATTTAACGAAGGTGACTTAGTTTGGAAAACGATTTTGCCGATGGATAAGAAGTCTAAAAGTTATGGCAAATGGTCACCGAATTGGGAAGGGTCTTTTGAAGTTATTAAAGTATTATCGGGAAATGTTTATTCGATTGTCGATTGGCGATTGGCGATTGGCATAGTAAAGAAAAAGTGCTTTCGATAAATGAGAAATACTTAAAAGATTATAAACCTCGAATAAGGGAAGTAAGCATTCACAATTGATTAAAGTACAATGTTGTTTCAACATCGAAGCTATTTAGGAGATTGTCATCGAGGAATGAATCGATAACAGTAATGTTTAAGATATCGAGAATTGATGAAATGATTTGAGGGAGTGACATCATCTTTAGGCAACAGAATATCGAGAACGGATCTTCCTTTTATAGCAGTTCGATATTTTAGGAACATGCAATTCTGTCGAGATAATAAAATCGAAAGTTTGTTTCGGGAGATGGTTTTTCTTTTGGATCGGGGGAGGTATTAGTTGATTCAACAGAAAATGATAGGGAGTGTTTTGGTAAGAATGATAGTCTCGATTTCGAAAGATCTTTGTCTTTGGGTTTTAGAGAAATTAAGTTTAAGAGGGTGGTAGCATTCTCGATAAAAGTTTTTTCGAATCGAGATAGGGGGAGTATTTACTTATCTTGGTTTTTCGATTTTTCGTGCACAAGGAGTCAATTTTCGATTAGATTGTATCAAAAATTGGAATAACTTCATGAAAAAAAAAAGTTAAGTTAGACACTTCTTGAAAGAATACAACATTTTGCACAAATATTTTATTCTTTCAGGGGGCATATTGTTGGTGGGAAAAATCGATATATAGATCGAAAAGTGGATTGAAGGGAATCAAGGGTCATATGTTGGTTAAAAATTGATAAATCGAAGGATGGAAGGAATTCGATGATTAGGAAAATCGAGGATGAAAATCAAGAATTGAAAGGCTGAAATCGAGATAGAGGGGAACGATTATCATACGTGGCTTTCGAAATTAAAGTGCATTTGGAACGTGGAAGCGATTTTTCTAAACTGTAGGCGAAGACGAAAGATCAAGGGACGTGCAGTGAAGAACATGGTAGCGACTTTTTAACTGCCCCTAGGAGGTTACCTGAAGAAAACTCTATAAATAGAGTGAGGTTGGAAGAAAAAAAGGGGAATTGGTAGAGATAACAGAAACACTAGTGAAAAGTCTACAGGAGAACGACAACATCATCAAGTTTCTAATGCTCTGTATCTCCATTTTCATTGACTGTCTTTATCGCTTTCTATACTTACCATGGTAATTTACCTTCAATGTAGTTTACATTTATCAACTTTAAGTTTCTGCACTTTCGACTATTTGTCATTTAATATTCTACAATTTTGAGTCTCATCATTTACATTCCTGAAATTTCGATTCTTGTCATTTACATTTATGCAATTTCGGGGTTTCCGCATTTACATCTTTTTGCAAATTAATATTCTGCACTACTTTCCGTTTCGACAATTTTCACTACTTTCTTTACTTACGAGTTTCTTAATAAAAAATACTAAAAATAGTATCTTCGATTTGTCAATCTGCATGTTAGGTTGCATTGTTAGCATTTCGATTTCAATATGCATGTTTTATCACATTTTTCATGTTTTTAATATATGTGCATGCTTTATATGACGTTTTCGATTCTCATACATGTTTCGATTGAAAACTTATTTGCTAGCCTAAATAAAAAGAATCTACGTGGTCGAAATTTGGTTAGAACTTAAGGCTATGAGAAATCGAAATCGAAATCGATCAAATTTCCACCAGAAACAACCCTAAAATAGTTTTATAAGAGCATCATATCCAATGTTGTGTTGTTATAAGAATCCACCTTGATTTCTTAAGTGAGACACACAGTATCATATTTAAATAACTCTCTTTAAATTTTTACAAATTCATTCTATTGGGTTTTTATATCTATTCATCATTCAACTACCATTTTTTTACTTTAATAGTACCTGTAATGTTATTTGGGGAGAATCGCGAGAATAAACTGAAAAAAACTAAAAAAAAATTAAGAAAAATAATTATTAAAAACATTATTTTTACAAGATACGGTATTTAATTTTTTTAAAATTAAAACTAAGATTACACGTTGAATTTGCTCTAAAGTCTAATTCATACTATGTAAATTTATATTAAAACATTTAAATAACTGTTATCTTTTTGTAATATTTTTTCCATTATTTCCCAATATATCCAACTCGATGTGAAAATATCTAAATAAGTTTTTTATAATTAAAAATCCAAAAATATAAGTGTTTGATTAAAAAATAAAACTACACTTGTAATTGAAATTTCCTTCTCCCCTTTTACTTCAATGTACGATGTGTGGTCTGAGCGCCCACAAACATGCTCTCTCCACCAATCAGAACTCAGTGGCTTTGACCTCTCCCCACTCCAACCTGTTCCATAGATCACTGTCTCACCGCCAGTACAAACATCTGACACATTCTTGTTCCCTTCTTTCTACTCCCCTGCACTTCACTCCAAACTCCCTCCCATCCTTTTCCTCTTCACCTGCTCTCTAATTCCATTTCCATTTTAAATATTTTTTCTTCCTTTTGTCAGGAGTCATCCTAATTATTGTGTGTCAACTCCATAAACTTCTGGGATTGAAATTATCTTAATATTTGTACCCTTTCTATCTGGGATTTGCTTCTTTTCTTGTATGTGTTGGTGATGATTCCTTCTTCTCTTAGATCTGAATATTTAGGGTTTAAAAAAGATACAAGCTTTGCAGAGTGCCCATAAGCTGAGGGATTTGGAATTTTCCTTGGGTTTTGGAAAGAAAGTTTTTTTATTTCTTTTGAAGCTTTTCCAGATTCCTTAGGTTGTGGCTATGTTAAAAGCGTAGCAGATTCCTTACAAATGCTTCTTGATTATAAGCTTCTTAGAAACTCCACTAGTCCACTACTCCTCCTATCTTCCCTTGGTTATCTCTCTCAAGGAGAGATTGTTTAATAACTATTTGTATCTGTGTGTGTTTATTACCCTTTAATGATGGATATGGTTTTGGCATGCTGGCTATGAGTGCTGCTGCTGCTGCTACGACTATTTAAACTAGAAGATGAACAGGGGAATTGAGGTTCTTTCTCCAGCCTCTTACCTCCATAGTTCCAATTGGTTGTTCCAAGAAAGCTTGGGGACCAAGTGGACTCCACAGGAAAACAAGTTGTTTGAGAGTGCTCTGGCTGTGTTTGACAAGGACACTCCAGACCGTTGGCTGAAGGTGGCAGCCTTGATTCCAGGTAAAACTGTTGATGATGTGATCAAACAGTATAGGGAACTGGAAGAAGATGTGAGTGTCATTGAATCTGGGTTTTTCCCAGTTCCAATGTACACTGCTGACTCCTTCACATTGGAGTGGGTCAACAATCAAGGATTTGATGGTTTCAAGCAATTCTATGGTGTTACTGGCAAAAGGAGTACTTCCACTAGACCACCTGAACAGGAGAGGAAAAAAGGAGTGCCATGGACTAAAGAGGAGCACAGGTAACTGCACATCATAAGCCTGTTTAAATAATCAATGCATTTATGTTTACGAAATAGTGTAGGAAAAAGTCCTGCTTGGTGTTCATGAGTGGTCATGAGATTGAGTGTTCATGAGTCGGTTCTGTTTACTGTATGTATGTGATTGGTATGATAAATGCTTCACTTAATATGATCTTTTTTTTTTTAATGTACCTTTGCCTGATTTCAGGTCTTTTGTTCTTGAATCAATAAGAAACTTAAAACATATTAGGGAATAAATTTTCATGTGTGCTTTTACAATGCAAATCAATCAGAAATAATATCAAATGTAACATTTTAAGGTAATTCTTAGCTAGAAAAAAGTAAACTAGCATATGAGAGTGTAATTAGTGTTCTATAAATGATAAAAATGTTGACCGTGATATGTGCAAGAACTACTGTCTAATGTTGGGTTACTTGTTAAATGGACCATCACAGGCAATTTCTGATGGGTCTGAAGAAGTATGGTAAAGGAGACTGGAGAAACATCTCCCGCAATTTTGTGACCACAAGGACACCAACTCAGGTTGCAAGCCATGCTCAGAAGTATTTCATCAGGCAGCTAATTGAGGGAAAGGATAAGAAGAGATCAAGTATCCATGACATCACGATGGTGAATCTCCCCGAAACAAATTCTCCTTCACCAGAAGATCACTCAGTGAAGGATGTGAATCCAACCCAGAATCAGAAACTGTGTAGCATAGTCAAACAGGAATATGAATGGAAATTGCCATGTGAGAGTGTGCCTGTGTTTTCCAATTCAGCAAACGGAAATATGTTAATGACGCCACTATGTGGAGTTTCCTCATATGGGTCTAAACCGCTTCAGGAGCAGTATTTGTTCACTGGTTCTCTCCAAGGATGCCAATTTGGACCCTTTGACACTAATATGAAAATGCAGTCCATGCATAATCAATGAACTATGTATAATGCTGGATTTAGAGATAAGGTATTAAAATGTTAAACCTTATTCATTGATGTCGGAGTGTTTTTAGATGCTTAAGGGTGGTTTTATGTAAATAATTTGAAGAGGATTCCCAAGTTTCCTTCTTACTTGATCTTTGAAAGAGTGTTCATATTGTATTCTGATGTTATAAAGTTGTGGGACTAACGATGCAATATCAAAGTTTAGTGATATGCTTTACCAAGGCAGAAAGCAATTATCTGTAAATCCCATAGGACGAGAGGATTCACCTTGAGTTTGTTACTATTTATTCACCTTTTTTAGATGTTTGGTGCTTCAAATAAACATTGACCTTTGCAGTGTTCAAGTTTACCAAGTTTTCACTTTTTTTTTTTATTATTATTATAAATAACTACAAGAGAACTTCACTGATTAAATTCAAAATCTTAGTTAACAGATGTAATGTTATTAAAAATCACATTTACGATGCTTATTATTTAAAGTTTTTATTTCTCAAACGTTATTTTTAGGTTTATGTTTTAACATTTGTGGTAATAGTCTCAATCTTGTATTTCATATTTTCAAAAATTTATTTAAACCCTTTTTTTAATTAAAATGTTGAATAGATTAATATTAATGAAGTTCGTTGATGTGTCTATTAACAAAAGTTCAAAAATTTTATTTGGTATTTTATATTTTTAAAAGGATTTATTTTAATATTTTTATATTTTAAAAATAAGTTAAGCACTTATTTTAATAATTTTAGTTTCAAAACAAACTTTCTGTATACAACTTTTTATGCCACTAAAAAACTCTTTAAATACAAAATAATTCTAGATCGTAAACATTCTAAAAGAAATTGTATAACTCAAGAAGATTATTTTGAAATCTAACTCTACGTGAAACATCACAATGTTTGATTTTACTTTTAAGATTATTTGAGTTAAAATAAATAAATAAAAAATAATAGTATTTTTTTTCCAACCATAAAAATGTATTAAAATAGAGTAATTTATAAAATATTATTAAATATGTTATTGACTACCATAAAATTATTTTAATTTTATTAGTAATTTCGAGTCTATATTCTAAATATATAACTAAATTAAATATTAAAAAAAAATTACTGGTAGTCTTACCCAATTCAAACAATATAAATCTCTTTACAAATATTACATTTGTCACAGAAAAAACAGTTATATTAGAGAACGTGTGTTACGTGTCACACCTTTCGTTCAAAAATTGTAATTATAAAGATGATTTTTTTTCTACTTTTTTATGTTCCTAAGAAAAAAATTAAAAATTTTCTAATTTAAAAAAATTATTATTATAATTTTTTAAAAATAATAAAAATATTAAAAAATTGATATATTTAAAAAATAAAAATATTAAAAAAATAATTATAAAAAGTATGAACATACAAGTGTTTGAACATCATATTTTCATTAATAAATAATAAAAGTTATTAAAAAAACTTTAATAGACAACGAACATAAATTATTTGTATAAAGAAAAATTAAAGTATAAATTTATTATATTATATCATATTTAATTTTAATAAAAAATTTATTAATTTTTTTAAAATATTCTTTCACCATTATTTATTTATTTTTAATAACTTATTAAAATTATTCTAATAATTAATATATTTAAATATTTAAATAATTTATTTTTATAGAAGATATTGAATAAGTAGTTCCAATAAAGATGTGTCATTTGTAAATAAAAAGTAAAAAAAATATTAAAATTAAAAAAGTAATGAAATCGGTGTAGAATCTGGTGAGTGGCACTACTATGAGCATCTCATGCTCCACCTTTTTTCAACTTTCTTCTTTGGATAAACTTCAAACTTATTTTTTTCTTTCTTTCTTTTTCCTCAACATTCTTCTTTCTAAATTTGGGGTCCTGTCCTTTCATTTTACTAGAATATATTGATGTTCCTATATTTTCTCTGGTTCTAATGAATTGTATTTATATTTATTTCTTATCAAATTGATTCTTAAAAAATATAATTTAATCATAAAATTATTTCACAAAACTTAATTAACAACACCACTTAGTTGTCGTGATTTTTTTATATATATTTAGTGATTAAATAAAAATATTATTCTGTCACTAATTAAATACTCACAAATCCTAAATTTAAAATTTGAATAATAATAAATAGGTTAAAAATAATTCATTAATCCATTTATAATTATTATAAATATGATGAAAATCTAATTAATTTAGGATTCATTCAAACTATCTTTTATAATTTCTTAGATATGAAATCCATTCATCTAAAGCATGTCATGTTTTTAATATGTATAAAAAAAAATTCATAAAATAAAGTTTAATATTATGCTCAAGTACTTGACACAATCAATTTTAAAAAGGAGAGATTTCAACCAAAATATTCCATTAATTTTGACTTTTATAATTGAATGGGCTTATAAGTGGATGGATTAGATAATTAGTGACTAAATGAATTGCATTGTGTTCTCTTGCTTCAATGGACCTTGGTGCTCAATCAAATTGTGAAGTGCATTATCTATCACATGATGTGGCCAAAAAACATTGCATTTGTGGTAGTGCTGCAACTGCGTCACATCACAATTACAGTGTGCTTCAGAGATAAAAAATAAAAATAACAAATCAAATAGTATCTAGGACAAGGACCACAATGACTTGATTTAGTTACTAAATTTGTTAAAATATAATTAATTCAGCTCTTAAAAAATTAAACATGTATTTTAATTAGATGATAAAATGGGTTAGACGTGATAAACTAATTGGTAAACTGATGTCAATTCATCCTTAAAATAAAACAATAGATCGATAGTTTTAGTCCATAAATTCATGAGAGATTAAAAAAATATTTATAAAATATAATAAATGATTAATTATTAAATAGAAGAACCAAATGACAACATTTATTCAGCTAAAAGGATGAAATTAGTCATTTAATCTACAAAATGATTTTTTTATATAAATTAATATTAGTTTATGCGTAACTTAATTTTAATTTATAGAATAAACATTAATATTTTAGAAGTATTTATAAAAAGGTTAATTCAAAGATATTAATTTTAGGTTAATAATATATACGCTTCAACTTTTGGCATAATAGATAATAAGGTGAGGAATCATTAACAGATAGAGATTCTTCAATTTCTCTATGAGATGATATTAACTTTTGATTTCTTTTCCCACTTTTGAATGTGGTGTTACCTTCTAATTTAGGGTTTAGGGTTTTTGAAAATTTGAAATTTAATAAAAGGATTACCCAATAAATTATCAACACACTAGGTTTTGTAAAAATCTACATTACAATAAACTTTAATTCCACGTTAGCTAAAAATAAAATGACAAAAGAAATGTAAAAATGAGAGGAATTTTCACCTTATAAAATTAATTTTGTAAAGTTAAGTAAAAAATAGAGTCACATTTTTTTTCCGATAATATCTCAATTGAAACAAGTTTATGTATATATTATTTTGAAAAAACTTAACACGATAAATTAAACTTTCTCTATATTAATTATTTTCCAAAATATTTAACACATTAAAATAAGTTTCCATGTGACAATGGGGTATAAATTAAAAAGACACAATCTCACTTATACGATAGAATTTATTTATTTTTAATATAGAACAAAAAATTGGTATATAATTTTTTTTCCTTCAGTTATATATATATATATATATATATATATATATATATATATATATATATATATATGTCCTTTACTAATATTTTTATAAATTAGATTTTCAATCAATTACAATGAAAATATTGATTTTTAATAATAATAAAATTAGTTATTGTATAGATTACCTCTTTAATTATAATCAAATTAATTAAGAATGAACCAATTTACTTTTTTCAATAATATCGTAAATAATTGGATGAATCAAGATAATTTTAAATTTTGAAAATCAAGATAACATATAGAATAATATTTATTTTACTTTGCAATGAATTTGATTATTTTTTTTAATAGTATCATAATCTTTGAATGAATCAAATTAAAACACATGAACCAATATAATTTTGAATTTTCAAATTAGTTAGATTAAATTTTAAATTTAAAAAGGAATATTTTTTCCTAAGAAAATAACATGTATATAGAATTAATTACATAACATAATTTACATTTTCTTAGGAAAAAAAAAAGAAGATAATACAATAGAAACATGTATATAGGAGATGTTTTCGTAAAATAAAATAAGAGGCAAAACTTGGAAGATACAAGTTAAAACAATGAAGAGGTGTGAATAGCATAACAAGGCCCAATACCATTTTCCATAAATAATTCAATTTTTTTCACTATCAATATATATCCTTCATCCTCAAATAATTGTAATTTAAGTTTTTTCAGCAATAATAATTTTATTACTTGTTGAAATAACATAATTAAATAACCTTATTGTCATAATTAAAATATTACTTTTATCTGCTGCAAAGAGAAACATTCTCTCAAAAAATATTTAGGGATAAATTGGAAATAAAATAAAATAAAAACATAGTTCAAATTAGTTAACTTGTATTTTATTTTAAATAACTAAAATTACAGTTATTTTGGCCAAAATAATTATTTAGTCACAACTTCCTAGTCGTTATATATATATATATATATATATATATATATATATAATTAATTAATTAACTTAGTTCGAAAGTTTTATGTAATATTAAAATATAAATAAATTACAATAAAGTTATTGAAAAGTAATTAAAATCTTTCATAATTATTTTTATTTTAAGAAAGTTCTTACATGTAATTATTAAAATATAATTTAGTCTTACGATATTAAGATATAATTTAATTTGTATATACAGGATTAAATAACATTTTAATAATAATGTATAAGGACATATTAAAATAAAAAATAAAAAAAGATGAAATTTATTTTCAAACATTATTTATTTACATTCAAGACTAATTAAAAAAAATTACACTATGTGAAGAAGACCATTCAGACCATAAAAAAACAAAAGCAAATCTCTTTAGAATAAAAAATGGTGTTGGG